ACTACGTAGCCCAAGGAGCCCATTCACCCAGGAATCCTGCTGCAGCCTTCCAAGTGCCAGGGTCATAGGTGTGCACCACACACCCAACTTGAGAATGGCGTCCCTGGGTGGCCAGCTGCATATGGGCAGAGACGGCATGGTGGATGCCTGCCATCTGCACCGTGCCTAGAAAGCAGTTATCAGAAACTGTTCTGCGTATGAGTAAACGTTTACAGTGTGATTACAGATTACTACAAAAATATTTAAAAGATTTTACTAATTTTATATGCCATAAAATAAGAATGTAAATAGCTAATATTTAGTCTGTAATCACATGACTTTGACCAATACATTGTAAGTACTTTTGTTTTGCCATTGATCAGCTTGATAAAGTGTTCTCTTTGACTTGTCCTAAAGCCCTGCAAGGTTATAAATGCAAAAGATGTTGACTTCATGTACGTTGAGCTCATTCAGCGCTGCAAGCAGATGTTCCTCGCCCAGATGGACACCATTGATGACCATGTTTATCAGATGCCAAGTTTCCTCCAGTCCATCGCAAGTGTCCTGCTTTACCTGGACACGGTAAGTGGATCAGTTAAGCTGAACTTTAAGTGTTTAATTTCATTTCTTTAAATAATTTTGTAAATCACATCATGGATTTAGTGTAGGCACCATTGTGGTCAACATGATATTATATATATATATATATACACATATACACACACATATATATATATTTTTTTTAATTTTTATTTTTTTAACTTTCTGCAAAGCTATATTCCAGAGGGGCTCAGTCCTTCTTGGCAGCTGCCTTCCTCATGGCGGCCAGCATGTTGCTCAGCTCCTCACACTTCCTCTTGGCGCGGATGTGCGTCGCTGCCCTTTTCTTGATGAACTTGAAGGCTCGCTTGTCCTTGGAGACCTCGAGCAGCTCCATGGCGCGCCGCTCCTAGGGGGCGAAGCCACACACCTCCCAGATCATGTCCTGCATAAACTTGGTGTGTTTGGTGAGACGTCCGCGGCGGCGGCTGTGCCTCGGTTTGCTCACATTCTTAGTCACCTTGTGGCCCTTGTTGAGGTCCACGGCTATGGGATAGCGGAGGGCTATGGCTATTGTTCTTCAATGGTTGCTGTGGCGGAAGTGATATTTTAAATGAGTAGACACGCATGTGTCATTTATGTGTCAATGGAAGTATCATGAAACTTGATTTTTTCTTTCTTCTTTTTTTTTTTTTTTTTTTTTTTTTTTTTTTTTTTTTTGTGGTACCAGGGTTGAATTCAGATCCTTGTGTTTACCAGGCAAACGCTTATTTTACTGAGCTATCTCCCCGGTCCCAGAAACTTGAGTTTGTGTTGTCCATAGCAAGAGAATGTATTTGTCATTCTTTTCATCTTTGTAAAAAGTAAACTATCGCCGCTTGGTATAGAATTTCACCTCAGGTATCATTTAGGCAAGTTTTACTTTTTTTTTTTTAAGGCAATCCCAACTATAGTTAAGCTTGGTAGAATAGAAAACAATCCCTGTTATGGATTTATTGAGTATATGACTAATTCATTTGCATTTACTTCAACTATTTGTATTATCCTTTTCTCTGACTTTTGGTTTGTCCTTGTTTCTGGAAGGTTCCTGAGGTGTACACTCCAGTTCTAGAACATCTCATGGTGGTGCAGATAGACAATTTCCCACAGTACAGCCCCAAAATGCAGTCAGTCTGTTGTAAAGCTATAGTGAAAGTCTTCTTAGCCCTCGCAGAAAAAGGACCAGTTCTCTGGAATTGTGTGAGTGCTGTAGGTAAGTTTGCATCTGTTTTTCTTTTTCTATGATGATTAATAATAGATGGTTATTCTTACTTGATATAGGTAAAGAAAACTGGCTGCCAGATTCTTTTGTGTCTTTAATGCCTTTTAAAGAACTACAATTTGGTGAATCACAATCCTTTTATTAACCTTTAGCTTCTAAATCATAGCAATTCATATTTTAAAACCAAAGATACTAACAAATTTAGTAAAACAATTGAGAATTAAAGTTCTAGTGATTATTGTTTATATTGACTGGTTTTGCTGTCTTTTTTTTTTTTTTTTTTTTTTAGTGCATCAGGGTTTAATCAGAATATGTTCGAAACCAGTGATCCTTCAAAAGGTAAATTCTGAGTTAATTTTTAAAAACTAGATTTTTATTACTGAAAGTTAGAAACACTGCTGAGTAAGTTTTATGATGTATAAACGTAAAAGTCCCTTCTTACTTATTAGCCATGTGTTACATTTGAAGACATGTGTTGTGTTAAGTGAATACACTTCTCCTGAGGTATAAAAATATCCTAGAGCACAATTTAACTGTTGTATATGTTTTTATAAAAAAGATTGCTGGCCGTGGGGGTGCCCAGCTGTAATCCAGTGCTTGGGAGGCTGAAGCAAGAGGTTCACTGGAGTTGGAGGCCAGCCTGAACTGCAGGCTACCTGAAATTGAGAAATAAGGGGGGAAACAATTCTTTCTTGAGACTCAAGGGTAAAACAAGAAGGAATATTATAGAGGCATATCTTAGTTATTGGAAGTAATAAAAGTAGGAGGAGATGAGAGATCGAAACATGTAAGATAGGAATGAATGATTTATAGCTTATCTGGCTCATACTATGTTGAAATAACTTGATTTTGCTTACAGAGGAATCTTTTTTTTTCTTGCTTTCGTTTTATTGTGCTTTATAATATAATGACTTCCTCAGTCTAGCTGTGTAGTCTCCTGCTAGTTGCTGTTCCGTTTAGAACACTCTGGAAGTCCGCCATGTCTGGTGGCACCGCTGGCCTCTGGGTCCGGCAGTTAACGCTGGCGTGTTGTCTTCCTGGCCAGGGTGCTGAGTCTGAATCTGAGGACCAGCGGGCCTTGGGGGAAGTTCGGGCTGGCAAATGGAAAGTGCCCACGTACAAGGACTATGTGGATCTTTTCAGACAACTCCTGACCTGTGACCAAATGATGGTAATGTTTATCATTTGAAACCCAAAAGTACCCAGTTACTGTCGTTATTGAAAAATCTCCATAGTTGTAGACGCAAGACTTACTTATTTCAAAGTTATATTTTGCTGATTTCCAAAAATCTTTTTAAAAAACTTATCACTAAAAAAAAATTAGAGTGTAAGTCAAGAGAGTTCAAGTGAGACTAGAAAAAAAAATGAGAAGAGCTCTTTTAGAATTTATTACTGTAGCTGAATCCTCACTTTTAGCTTTATGTAACAGGGTATGGTACTTGATGCTTTTTTTTTTTTCCCCCCGGAACCGGGGATTGAACTCAAACTCTTGCACTTGCCAAGGAAGCGCTTATTCTACTGAGCCATCTCCTGGCCCTCTGTACTTGATGCTGAGTTCAGCCTCTTAGATAACGAGAAGTATAATCGCAGTAAAGAGCTTCCCTTAGCCTGCCCTGTTCCTGCAGTGCGAGGACTGAGCTCAGCCTTGTGTACGCCAAGGAGTCCTCTTTCATTTGCTAAAAATTAAGATAAATCCATTTGATTTAGAAGGAAGGAAAGGAGTCAGTGAACAGCTATTATTTACTTTAATTTAGAATTCACTTATATTAGAATCTTATTAAAGCTCAAATAATGCCTACCATGTTTCTACAAGACGTTTTAGTTTTTACTTTAAGCCTAGTAATGGATAATATTGTAATATACACTTTGGTGAAACATTAACAGCCTGGGCAAACGCTTAGATCACTGAGCTGTCTCTGTGGCCCACAGCTTCACTTGTATAGAAGTGCAAGGTTGTACATTTAAATCTCTTCTGAGGCTGGACATACCCATTTGTATGTATATGTGTACACATTCATATATGCACATGTATTTATCCACATGTGTGTAATTTTATACATACAAAAGACAGCACAAATATATATCATTTACATTTGTACATTTATGCCTCACACGCAGAAATTGGGATGAGTGCATTTATAGTGCTTGATTGAAATCTTTTCATTCAGTTCTGTATAAAGTGTTAGTTACATGACTAGATCAGTCATCAGACTGGAAAGATACTGTCGTGATGATTTGGGTTGGGAGTGTCAAGTTTTTTCTTTTTTTTGCTGAACCAGGGATTGAACTCAGGTCCTTGCGCTTGCCAGGGAAGCGCTTATTCCACTGAACCATCTCCTCCACCCTGAGAGTGTCAAATTTGAAAGCATCTAGATACATCTGCAGCTTACTATTGGGATGGAAACATCCTTTGTTCTGTAATAGCTCCTCGTGTGTGTGTGTGTGTGTGTGTGTGTGTGTTTATAAAATATAGTAATATTTTTCTATACAAGATCTTGAAGGTTATTTTTTTATTTTTCTTTACCTAAAGGATTTTATTTTAGCCGATGAAACATTTCTCTTTGTGAATTCCTCTCTTCAAAGTCTGAATCGTTTACTCTATGATGAATTTATGAAATCTGTGCTGAAGATTGTGGAGAAATTGGATCTTACACTAGTAAAGCAGACTGGGGAACAAGAGGTTAGAAATTTTATCAGTAGTAATTTTGCATCTTTTTATTTTTTATTGTTATTTTTGTTTTGCATCTTTTTAATGGTAAATCTTAGGGGTTGAAGAAAATTGCTTTCGGGGGATTATTATGTGCTATTGCTTTTCTATTGGATATAGCCTAATGTATAGAAAATGTTATTAATGGGTCATTCAAAATAATTTATATGTTTAATGTGTAAAAATAATTTTAAAAAATAATTGATGGGTTTGTTTCTCATTCCCATAGCCATGGTAAAGGGTCAGATCTCATATACAAGTTTACTTTTTATAGTAGGATAGGGAAGCTGAGGTTCTACTTGCTTGTTAGGGAAACGCTGAAGAATTAAATGTGTTCTTGAGATAGCAGTGTACAAATAATAAGTAGAAAAGAAGTGCCCTCCCTTCTTCTGTACCCAGTTTTCTTAGTTGGATGAGAGATGTCAGTCCTGGCTTAAAACTGTCAGCTCAGAGCTGCCCTGCTTTTGTTTGAGGAGAAAAATACTAAGAGGAATGAGGCTGGGTTTAAAGGCAGGAGGCTTCAGGGCTGCCGGTATAGCTCAGTGGCCGAAGCGCTTGCTTAGGTAAGTGCAGGGGCGAGGGTTCGATGCGGGCCCGCCCCTGGGTGCGCTGAGCCAGCGATGGAGTCCGGGCATGGTGGTGCATGCCTGTAATCCCAGTACTTGGGCGGCAGAAATCAGGAGGATCACTACGAACGTGGGTTGAGTACCGGGTCCCTGAAAAAAAAAAAAAAAAAAAAAAAAAGGCAGGAGGTTTCAGTAGAAAGCATGTAGTTTGTGCTTGAGCGGAGTTGTGTTTTTGTTTGTTTTAGAGCAGATAGACTGTGCTCATTAGGATGCATGTATATATACTTTCAGTGCAGTCCTGAAGTTAGGTAAGACTCATGGGAGGACATGGGAAGGATCAGTACGGGAATCCGTGGGAAGCATTGCCACATTGGCATCATTGTAGTTGTCGTGCTGTGTTTCGCGCCGGGTGGTAGGAGCACCAGTGTGTGTACTTTGTGTATGCCTAGAATAGTTTCATTCAAAGGAAACACCTCACTGACCGGGCTTTCTGGGACCGCCTGCATTCTAGCTCACATGTTCCTCATTGCCGGGGCCTCGTTCCCTGCTGCTGCCCTTCTTGCCCCAGCCCTGCGGGTCCTCTGAGGTCTCCGGTATACCTGGTCTCCAGTCCTTTGTAGGACTGGCTCCCCTTCAGCTAGCTTTCTAACATTAGAATTGAATTTGCACAAATTGTGTTTGGTAACAGATTTGTGAATAATCTTAATGAGTTTAAAACTGAGTATCAGACGCTTTCCTGAAATCATTGTTTTCCATTTGCCTTTCTTGTTACTGTCATTATAGCTTTTTAAAGCTATGACCCCCCTGTATGCTTGTCCCCCTCCTCGTCACCCCGAGAGTCCTTTGATCCACTGCTGCTTCAGGCCGCCTCACTCTTCTCGGGGTGTGAGCTCCTCAGGACCTGCCTTTGCTCTTCTTACTCTTGCCTTCTTTCTCGTAGCAGTAAGGGGAGGTTGTTGGTTGAGAACTGTGTAACCGAGTGGTACAATGTGTGCTATAATTAATTTTTAAGGATGGAAACGAGACTGCTCATGTTTGGGTGATCCCGACTTCAGATCCAGCTGCTAACTTGCTTCCTGCTAAACCTAAAGATTTTTCAGCTTTCATTAACCTGGTGGAGTTTTGCAGGTATTTTGTAAAATTTTTATTATTAAAGATTAGAAATTATCAGCTGTTAGCTATAAGAGATTGTAACCTCATAATAATGTAAGAAATGAAAAAATAAGACTTTAAAATTACTTGTCTAAACTTTAAAATATATCTGAGCATACCAGCTTAGTTTACTTTGTTGTCCTTTTTTTAAAGAGAATTAAATGGTCCTTAGGTAAGGAAAAAAGGAATATAGATATATTTAGCACTGTTAGGATCCCTAAAAATATTACATAATGAAATTGTAGTCAATAAATTTTTAAATAATCTTAAGGTTGAATAAAAATTAATAGAGAAATTTGTACCTTAAATATTTGTTTCATTTTTACAGAGAGATTCTTCCTGAGAAGCAAGTCAGATTCTTCGAACCGTGGGTGTACTCGTTTGCATATGAGTTGATTTTACAGTCCACACGGTTGCCCCTCGTCAGTGGCTTCTACAAATTGCTTTCCATTGCAGTGAAAAATGCCAAGAAAATGAAATATTTTGAGGTAAGTCTTTTTTGGACGTGTTAAGGATGTGGGAAATTCTTGTGCTTTTGGGGCTGTGAGACTTTATAAATTGAGTTATAAAATATGTGATTAAGGTAAATGCAATGTTAATTTTATCACAATCATATTCTTAAAGTATGCACCCCTGGGCATGGTGGCACACATTTGTAATCTCAGCTACTCAACAGGTTGAGGGAGGAGGTCACAAATTTGAGCCAGCCTGGACAACTCAGTAAGACTTTGCCTTACAATCAACAGGGCTGGGGACATAGTGGTCAAATGCCCCTGGCTTAATCCCTAGTATAACACATAAAACACACACATACGTATACACACACTCTCACTGATATGTGTCAGTTGGGTGACTCTTTAAAAAACCCAGCATTTTCTGCTCAAATTTGCAAGCACTTGGTTAATTATATAAGATGACCAGCAGCATGAACCTTACTTAGGAAGTCACGTCCTCTAGATTTACCTAATTAAAGTAGTTGGGAACAGTGCTTAGGGATCTGTACTACAAGCCATCCCACATGACCCTGGTTCATAGTGAGTTTTGAGAATGACTGAAGTAGCGTCCCCATCCCTGAAGCTTCATTTGGTTCCTGGAGGAGCCTGCCTGGGTAATTACAGGGCGATAGGTCTCTCAGCACATAGCCACCTCTCACTGGAAGACGGAGCGGGAGGAGGAGGAGAAGGGAGAGGGGGAGCGGCAGGGGGAGGGGCAGGGGGAGGAGGAACGGCTTCAGCCCTGTCCCACCGCAGCCTTTCAGCAGACTTCCACCTCCTGTCCTCCTTGCTCTATTCCTGACTGGCTTGTGCTTGGAAACACCCTTAAACCCTAGTGTCCCCTTCAGTCTCCATTAGAGTTTTGGTAAAAAGAAATGAATTTACCCTTTGGGGAAAAGTTGAGAACTGCCAGATTACGATATGGAATTGATTGATTCTTGTCCACTGTACTAATTTTGCTATTTTTTGACAGGGAGTTAGTCCAAAGAGTTTGAAACACTCTCCTGAGGACCCAGAAAAGTATGCTTGCTTTGCTTTATTTGCAAAATTTGGCAAAGAGGTAAACTTCAAGTGATTTATCATAGTATATCATGTGTGATTTTTAAATGAATGTATAATGAAAAATACCTAGTGATTGTAAGTGATCTAATTAAAAATTGTTTTGCTAAATCCAGATTGAGAATAAGGTCTTAAAAAACTAATATGAAAAAAACCCCAAAACTAATATAAGGCATACTGTGCTTCAAAAGTTCTGTGAGTTCTCTTGACAACTCAAAAATTAATACATTAATTCCACCAGGTGTGGTAGTGCATGCCTGTAACCCTAGTGCTCAGGAGGCTGAGGCAGGAGGATTGCCATGGCTTCGAGGACAGCCTGGACTGTGTAGTGAGTTCACAGTGAGCCTGAACTGCATAGCAAAGCCATGTCTCAAAAATCTGGCCCCCCCCCAAAAAAAAAAATTAAGCACATTCTTTAGTTTTTTCTCATAAGAGAAATATATACTACAAGTTAACTTTTTGGAATTCAGTGCCTAGTCGGTGAGTGAATGTGGTCATTGTTAAAGGCTACGTGCTTATTTTTCATATTTGAAAATAGCATGAGTACACTTTAATTGATTTTCGAATGGTAGACTTCCTTCAGCTCCTCAGAACTAACTTCTTCCTTGTGAAGGTCTCAGTTAAAATGAAGCAGTATAAGGATGAACTTTTGGCTTCCTGCTTGACCTTTGTTCTGTCCCTGCCGCATGACATCATTGAACTCGACTTGAAAGCTTACGTCCCTGCATTGCAGGTAGGTGCATCTTCTCAAGCAAACTAATCTTTCCTCAAAATTACGTCCCCTAAAGAACATGCAAGCCATGGGGCTGGTGAGATGGCTCAGTGGTCTAGAGCACCTACTTAGAACAAGCTAAGCTAAGCAAAACACAAGGACCTCGGTTCAATCCCCAGCACCACATGCCAGCCAGCCCCGCCCCCTGGTGGGCTGAGCTGGCCACACACACACAAATAAATAAAATAAATAAATTTAAAAAAAAAGAACATGCAAGCCAGGTGTGGTGGCACACACTGTGATCGCACCGAGGAAGCTGAGGCGGGAGGCTGCCTGTGAGGTCAGAACCAGCCTGGGCCTGAGAGTGGGTTCAAGGCCTGCTTGAACTACATAGCAAGACCCTGCTTCGCAAAACGTGCTCAAGGATCCAAATGCTGTCCTGGCAGTCAGCCTGTACCCGCGGGCACGCCTGGCTTAGCCTGTGCTTCTACCGCTTTTTATCCCATGTCAGGCGCGAGATACCTGACATGGCGCCTCTGAGCTGCCTTTTCAGGATGATAGGAGAACTAAGGATTGCATACGTTGGAGGTCTGCAGTAAACCAAGCCCTGGGCACTGGTTCTGCCTGTTTTCCTCTGGGTGACCTGAACTTTGTCCACTTCAGCAGAGTTTGGGGTTCAGAAATGAGAGGGTATGTTAGTTAGAAAACAGTTCTTTGCTACATTTGGTGGTCTTAAATTCCCGTGTTTCAACTTACTGTCTTTGTGCTGACACATGTAGATGGCTTTCAAGTTGGGCCTGAGCTATACCCCGCTGGCAGAAGCAGGTCTGAATGCCCTCAAAGAATGGTCACTGTACATCCGCAAGAATGTAATTCAGCCTTATTACAAAGACATTCTTCCCTGCCTCGATGGGTACCTGAAGACTTCCACCTTATCAGGTAAGGTTCAAGGGAATTGGGATTTGTATTGTAATTACAATAGTACCATGGTGCCTGAGTAGGACTGCTTGTACAACTTCTGAAAATTTGTACCTGATTTTGAAATATGTTCAGTATTTTTGTAATCTCCCCCAGTTCATCTCAGTATAGTTGAAGAACTAAAAGATTAAGTCGTTGTGGAGCAAATTGGTTTAGGACAAGATTCAAAGAAAAAAATCACTTGGACAAAAATACTACTAATCAAGCAAAGTAGTATTTAGAGTCAACAGTAACTAACGTACATAAACCAGGATGAAAAGAGATGTTCTTAGATCCAAGCAAAAGGATTTAGCTGCAAGAAAGATGCTGAAGTGTTGGCAAGAATTGTACCTTCCTCAAAGTAGAAGTCAGGTGATCAATTTTTGAAGTTTAACCCATATAAATTACTGTCAAATGCTGTTGGATTGGACACATCAAGTGAAAGTTGTAGGATAGGTTTCATTCACTGGATCAGCTCCTTTGACATCCTGAGTGCACATGTGGAGCTTATGAAGAAAGAGTTAGGATTTTGGAAACTTTATGTAAATAGTAGTAACAGTTAGAGAGAAAAAACTACTAGCTTATCTTGATAATTTACTCAGGCTTTTAAAATTGATGTAAGTTGTTGCTGTTTGAGTATATCATGTAAAATTTATAGACTGAGTTTAAAGATGAATATATGTGATAAGAATTATAGTGCTTTTATGTGCTGGTTTGAATTTAATTTATTTAACTCATTAAAAGTTGTGTGTTTTGGATTAATAGGGAAGGTTTCGGCAATGTTTTGAAGGAAAGGATCAGCTAATAGATGTGTGCTGTAGACCTTTCAATGATAAAACAGCATAGGTAAAATGAAATAAAGAAAAATATATGTTACTAGTTTTAGTAACTTTATTTGATGTGCACTTACGTTAAGAGTGAAAAGGGCTTGTATGTCCTGTTCTGTTTCTCTAGGGGTTAAGGTTTTGTATCATTTGCGTCCTCATACATGGGCTTTCCTTTTGCGTAGTGTGTGATATGTGTGTTTGTATTTATACATGAATCACGTCTTGGGTTTCTGGCTAAGATGGAGTACATGCTCATACATGACTTTTTGATCAATCCTTTATCAGCTATTAATATCTGACTTTGTGTGTATACCTTTGTATGTGTGTGTGTGTGTGTGTGTGTGTGTGTGTGTGTGTATAAACTCTATGAAAGTTTACACCTCGGTACTTCATTGTGTATTTCTTAAGAGCATTGACGTTTTTCTTTTGGTACCAGGAATTGAACTCAGGACTTCACTTTTGTCGGGCAGGTGCTGTGCCACTGAGCTACATCCCTGGCCCTAGACCTTATTTTTTTTAACTTAAAAAATTTTTTTTTAGTTATTTGATACAGGTTCTTCCTACACAGTTCAGACTCATCCCAGCCCTAGGCCTTCCTTTATATAACCACAGTGTCATTATCAAATCAGAGAACATAGTGTACATGTGTATTCTTCCCATTTGTGCTTTGGGAAGATTTTGTACTTGTCCCATTACTTCAGTAGTTAGCTGTATTTTTCCTGGTCCAGAATCTAGTCTAGGACCACACATTACACTTACTTGTCATGATTCTGTATATTTTCTAAGCTGAGCTCTTACAACCTTGACATTTTTGAAGGTTATTGGCAGAATGTCCTTCGCTGTGGATTTTTCTGATGCCTGATGTTTCCTTGTGGTGAGATCCAGGCCGTGACTCCAAACTGATGCTGGGTCCTCTCCAGGCACATGGCAGTAGTTGATCCTGTTACTGCTCACGTCTGCTTTGACTACTCTGTCAGCATGTGCATGCCCCATGTGTCTGTAGTTGTAAACTTTCTGGTTTTCCTTTAGTGAATCAGTCATTTGAGGTCCCCTTTCATTTTCTTACGATTCAGTCCTAGGGCCTTTGGGGTGGTGCAGAGAAGGTGGGTGTGGACAGAGGGGTGCTGTGGTCTTTGAAGGAGTGTGAGGAGGGATCCCTCAAGGGACAGCCAGCGCAAGCAGGAGGGGGCTCCTCACATGTTCAGTAGCTGAGTGGGGTGCGGGATCCAGGCATGGGGAGGAGACACTTGGGGTCGTTTGATTACAGGTAGGGGGTTGAACAGATAAACACGTTGAGGGTGGTGGAAGCTGGGCTTCCCAGTGTTGAAGAAGGGAAGCTACAGTACAGAAAGACAAAGCGAGTGAAGTTTGTGGCTTTGGGTTGGAGGTGGGTGGAGCCATGTGCACTTACCCACTTTCCTCTGCGCTTGCTCTTGTCCCCTTTCTCTCTCTGCCCACTCTACACAGTTATATATGAGTACATATAAGATACATACGAATAAATGTGGAAAGACACAAGTACATGTGTGTAGCACCTTTGTGTATGCATTTATTCTAGTGCTGTTTACTGGGAGTGGAGACACCTGCATAGTAATAAGCCAAGGCCAGGTGTTGGTAGCTCAGGCCTACAATCCCAGCGCACAGGAGGCTGAGGCAGGAGGATAACTACAAGCTTAAGCCCAGCCTGGGCTATGTAGTACAGTGAAGGCTAGTCTGGAATACATAGTGACAACTGTCTTTAAAAATAAATAGTAATGAACCAGTCTGGAATCTGGGTCATGGCTTGTTAATGTCTTTTTCTATGAAAAGGAACCAGTATTGCTTGGTAGCAGTACTGCTTAGATTTGGGAAAATAGCACCATGAACCTAGAATGTTTTTTTTTTTTTTTTTCTGGAGCATCTAGAAAGCAAGGAAGTATTTAAAGAGTTAAAGAGGAATTATCACAGCAAAATTATTTTTATTTATTTATTTTTATTTGTTTATGTGTGTGTGTGTGTGTGTGGCCAGCTCAGCCTACCAGGGGGCGGGGCTGGCTGGCATGTGGTGCTGGGGGATTGAACCGCGGTCCCTGCGCTTTGCTAAGCTTGTCTAAGTAGGTGCTTTAGACCACTGAGCCATCTCACCAGCCCCTACAGCAAAATTATTAATAATTTTGTTTGTTTGTTGGCTTTTGAGACAAGGTCTCTCTATGTAATTCAGGCTGGCCTTGAACTTACTATGTAGTCCAGACTACCTCAGTCTCCCAAGTCCTGTACCACCATGCCCAGCTCCTTTAAGAGACATTATAATCTATTATTAACACCCAGCATATAATGTAATTCTGTCTACTGAAAGGACCTAATGTATCCTCGATGTGTAGAAGAATGTTACATAAGAATGAGACGTTCTTAGCAGACTAAAGTGTCTGCCCAGGCCGAGCGCAGCAGCTGGGGTTCAATGAGATAGTGACTGAGACTGGTCATGGTGGCGCATGTCTGTAATGCCCACACTTGGGAGGCTGAAACAGAAGAATCTCCACAAGTCTGATGTATGTAGTGAGACCCTGGAGACCTTGTAGACCCTGTCCTAAATTACAGAAGAAGAAAATGAGAAGTAAAGGCCTTTCTTATCTACAGGCACATGGATAACATGTACACCTTATATTTTGAGTTCTACAATTTAAACTGTTAGGACCTAAAACTACTGGTAGGGGAGATGGCTCAGTAGGATAAACGCTTGACTGGCAAACGCAAGGATCTGAGTTCAATCCCCGGTTCCGCCAAAAAATAAAATAAAATAAAATCACTTGATAGTCCTCTCTTTAAATAAAAAAAAAAAAAACTTTTCTGTATTCCTCTAGCTAGACAATTTCTCCTTATCTAGCTTCAATTTCACTGACATATTATTCATTTGTCTCAATGTACTTTTAGGAACACACA